TATATATTGGTTGCATGGCTTTATATGATCCAAAATTATGAATACATGCTTAAAATTTATTGACATACATTCAACATTTATCTTAAATTTTGTGGCCTAAATGATGCTTTATTTGCACTGTAGGGGAATAAAACAGAAATTATAATCTGCAAGTATGATGATAAATTTCTGGTTAGTATGATTACTTTTATGCATATCTTATTTGAAGGAAGGTTTGGTGCTAAAAAACTGCCATAGGTCATAGTGACCCAGATTGGATGCATGGGGACAATACTGCATGCCAGGTCAGCATTTTTTTTCCTTATTGTATATTAATAGTTTTTAGTACTAATGACAACCTTTGGTATCCATATCTCTACTCATTATTCTGGACCTGCCACCAAGTTCCATGCCTTCCACATTCAGATTCAGACCCTGATTGAAATTATAGTGAGATAACCTTAGAATTTGGCATATAAGTGAAGAGCGGACAATGGATGAATTTGAATTGTTTTCCTTTGGTGTTAATGTCCTTAACTACGGAGAGAGAGTGTTCTATGAATGTTAATATGATTGTGCTTGATTACTTTGTTGTTCAACTTGAAGGTGATATGACTGACAATTTGCTGATAAATGGTTAGCGGTTCATAATAGGATTCCATGAGCTAAATAAATATTTCAGGTATTCAGTTGAATGAGACAGTGCATAGAAAATATATCAAGCTAATCAGTAATGATCAAGACTAGCATCCATTTGCAGTAACATTGAAACAGTTTTGATGTAATCACCTGCTTTAGAAGAATACTTGCATCTCTTGGTGATGCTAGCTAACATCAAAGTCTCTTTAATTGTGCTAGCTAACTTGCATTCCAGAAAGTCATAATTCTTACTTAGTGACTAATGGTAAATTTTCATAATGGAGACAGGAAGGAGGAAAGTGTATTGACCGATCCAACTTACAGTGTCTCCATTATATTTGGTAAAAGAGATGAGGTAAGTGTAGATGTTTCAGGATTAGTCAATGTTACTATTGTCTTGTTGGGTTTGATGATAATGGGCCTTCATTTCATACACAGCCATGGCTTATTGCATGTGGTCGCCAGTTGATTGAACATATAAGGTCAGTTTTTATCTCTGCGTGTTAAATTTTATATATCCATTATTTCCTAGATGGAGACTATGTAATAGGTATGCCCATAATCAACATTATTTTTCATTTCACTTTTTTGCAGCTACAGTTTGTTTCCATTTATGATAGCAAAACTTGACCTTCCAAAAAGAAGCAGATGCATTATCTGTATATCACAATTTAGAATGGATTTTTAATCCCAGCATTCTATTAATAGTTCGGGAGTTGAGATAGCATCCACCTATTAAATACTGTTATAGACTTCTAGCATGGTTGTGGAGCTAAATTGTTGGATTGAAGATAACATGAATCACGCCTTCCTAATCAAAGTTTTTTTATACTATTAGACCATGATTCATGTGTTGACCTTTGGAGCTGAACTGCTCATGATTTTACAATAAAGGCCCTATTTAATTTAACTCCAAATAGCCATTGGGACAAAGAGGAAAAAAGGGTAGGCTAGAGGCTTCTAGTGATGTAGATTTAGGATGGTCACGGCTTAAATATAGGCAGACTTAGCCTTGATGAAAACGCTGTGGTTCCATGACTTGAGTCATAGCTTTGGTACCATGTCAGAAAGGAGAAACCTTATGTGGTACCAAAGCTCACTCTTGAACGGTCTTTTGGAAGTAGATATTGATATATTAAATATGATGATCATAATATGCTTCTTTGCTATGACATTCTTAGGATTTCATCTCATCCCTCTCGTTTTACTGCCCTTATTTGGACTACTAGAATCCATCACTAAGTGCTAAATCATTGGTTGTAAAGTTACCTGCTTTTGCATGTTTTTTTTATGTTTGCAACTAAGTGTTAATAGATTCTTGTAAAATTATTATCTTATCTCCACAACAATGTAGAAATCACTTTTTCTTCAGAATTCTTTTTTTTGTTTTGATTTATGTCAATAGATGCTTGTAAAATTATAATCTTCTTTCCACAACAATATAGAAATTGAATTTTCATTGAAAATGCTTTATTAGTTGTGATGATATTGTGCTGAATGGAAGAGATCTGTGATTAGATGATTTTGCAAACGGAGGAGTTCCATATGTTACATAACAGTGTTTACAATTTTATATACATGTGTAGTATTGTTTTCTTGCACTAAGGGTTGGGTAGCATTGGCTTGTTAGCCTACATTTTCTCCTTTAGATTAATACTACTTCATATCTGAAACTGTCTTCTATGCTCTTGATCAAAAAATATAAGAGTCAAAAGAGATTGCTCTTTCCTTGCATGAGTTCGTTTTGTAATTGTTTTCATGCCGACGAATTAAGTCAGTCTCTTGCCCAAATTTGTTTTGGTTGAAAATTTGGCACAAGATTTGGATGTTAATATTGCATTGCTAGTTACTAGTAAGATCTTTACAACGTTTCTGTGCACTTGTGAAACTGATATTAGCAATGTAATGCCTCATGTCACTCATTAGATGAGTACCATTATAATTCAAATTTACTTCTGCAGTTGCTCTGGCTCTTCTATGCATTTGGTGCTTTCTCTTGGGCTGAAGGATCATTCTCCGGTATGATGCGCAACAATCTGTTTTTCCCTTTTAGTTTTCTGTATTCCATTTTGTGCTCATCCTGAAATATCACATATTCTTTTGTTGATGGCCATCAAGACTTAATGTGCATTTGGGAACACATTTAAAATATGCATTGAAGGTCTAATGTATATTTTAAATGTGATTTGGTGTTCGATAAGTTTTTTTCAAATTGTATTCGGTCTAGATACTGCATTGCAAATGTTCAAAGATGCTACCTTAAGATAACATTAGCATTTTAGCATTTGCAGGATGTTAATATAATTTTTTAGATTCCTAAAATACCATATAGAGTTATCCAAAATCACAAAATTATCAACATGATTTGATGAGAAACTAATATGATTTATGTCTTTTATAAGGTAAAATTTTATTTATTTATTTTTAAAATTATTTCTATTTATTTATATAATTATATTTATTTTATATCTATGTTATATGAAATTTTTTGTAAGATTGCATATATATATTTATTTATTTAAATAAAAATAATTTTTTTATTTTTGAATAGATATTCAAAATATTAGAAGGGTAAATTTATTACATAATATTTAATCAACTTTTGAAATATAATTTTATCAAATAAAACTCACATCAATGTATATTTAAGATATAGTTTTCATCTATTATTCATCAAGCATTGAAAGCATTTCACAACTTCATATGTATTCAGACATTCATTTTCAAACACAATCTTAGTTGCACCCAAAGCAAAAATGATTACTTCTTTTTCTGGCAGATGGACTTCACTAATGGCCATCAGATTAGCTTAGCAATGACAGTAGTTAATGCCGTCATCTTATTTGCTTAGCAATTTTAGTTGAATCCTGTACTTTCACCTGCAGGAAACTCTGAAGGATGTCACTCTAGCTGTCATCGAGAATCGCCTATGGTGAACTGCATTGCTATTCCTTATTAGCTTCTAAAGCTTCAGACCTGGAAACCATATCTGGTGCTTTTTTGCCAGCATCATCGCATGCTAAATCGACGAGGTAGGTTATAGATCTTCAATGAACCGATGTTTCTAAAATATGCTTGGCGTTGCATTGCAAGACTATTTACCAGAGTGATTCCTGCTATGTTCACAATGAAGTGAAACTTTTGGAAATATTATGTTTGTACTATAATGAACGTTACAACTTCTTGATTTAATAGATGGCTAATAATGTAACTAGAGAATGATTGTTAATTTCATTATGAAATGATAGTTAGCCCACAGAAGATGAACGTAATATCTGTTATTATTTAATGTGCATGGTGTATGAGGCATAACAAAATCCCCTGACATCACCAGAGTCATTACCGTGACAATTGTCGTTGTCACTTTCAAACATAATGCAGAGCCGATAGTGTTCTCGATGGAGTTCAGTTTGAAGTTAGCTTCTTCGATTCAATTTGTTACAAGGTTACTCAGTTCAATTATTCACGCATGATAATTTGATCATAATATTTGAGAATAATAATAATAATAATAATAAATTTTATAATAAAAATAAGGTGACTCATGGTTGACGTGGAGAGTAGGCGTAGGCGTTGCGAGCTGGACAAAGGAAACTATAGGGAGAGATGATTCGTTAGGAGTGGCTCAATTTTTTAGTGGAGTTGGGCAGCCCCCTTTGCTTGATAGTCTTATTGCGCCTTCGGGCTACATTGATGATTTTGCATAATAAACATTCACTCGATGTGTCTTAGGCTCGATGCTTTCGATGCTTAAGCCAGAAAACCAGAGGGGGAGGAAAACAATAATATTAATAGTGTGTCTTGGCTCGATGCCTTCGATGCTTAAGCCAGGAAACCACAGGAGAGGAAAACAATAATATTAACAGTTTCCTTTGCTTGCTTGTCTTGACTTGGTTCGATGCTTGAGTTTTATACTTAGACACTAAGCGATCTAGATGTGCATTCACCGAGGCCTCGTATGATGAAGGTATTAATGAGGGTGATTTGTTGACATATATCCTCTAGTGTCCACGGTGAACCGTTGTGAGGATGCTTCTTGACTTACTTTCTTATCGCCTTGGGTTAGACATAGAGTAATCCCTTCTCGTCGGTAGGGAAAAAATGATTCGTGAAGATGAATTATGTTGCCAATTATTAATGTCGAGGTATGGCGTCACCCCTACTCCAACTCCGTATGCATTTGGTTTTAGACATTATCTTTTGGACGGTGTGACCCCTACTCAGTGACACGAAGAGGAGCTGAGGATTGTCCTATCAAAAATTAAATTAAATTTCTAATTATCTGTCATTCAAATTTACCAAGAAAAGGATTACAATGGATTGACACCATCCGACATTATTCATCTTGTATTTCTTCTTATCGTCAGCATAGTCTCTGTCAAGAAGTATCAGATGTACCGATCGGCAAAGGCAACGTAACGCCACAGTGACGCGACGATCCCAAACCCTTTTTGGGCTTCCTCCCGCCTCCTCCTTCCCTCCATGGCGGCCGCGTCTGCGTCGTCATCCTCTCCTTCTTTGATCGATACGCTGTTCCAGCGATCCCTCGACGACCTCATACGAGTCCTCCGCTCCTCTTCTTCCGCCGCCTTGGAGGCGGCGGCGATCGCCCGCGCCTTGGATGAGATTCGCCGCGAGATCCGGTCGCCGGACCTGGACACCAAGGTGGTGGCCCTCCAGAAGCTGACCTACCTGGCCTCCCTCCACCACTTCGACATGTCCTGGGCCGCCTTCCACGCCCTAGAGCTCCTCCCCTCCACCTCCCTCCCCCAGCCCCGCGCCGCCTACCTCGCGGCCTCCCTCTCCTTCCACCCCTCCTCCACTGACCTCCTCCCCCTCGCCACCCACCAACTCCGCAAGCACCTCGCCCCCTCACCCTCCAATTCCCCCGCCGTCGCCGCCCCCGCCCTCCACCTCCTCGCCCTGGCCTCGTCCCCCGACCTCGCCCGCCACCTCGCCCCCGACCTCCTTCCCATCCTCTCCAACCAGTCCTCCAACCCCCTCCGGCCCAAGGCCGTCGCCACCGCCCTACGTGTACTTGCGGTCTGCCCAGACACCGCCCCGGTCCTCTTCAAGCCCCTCGTCGAATGCCTCTCTCTGTCATCGGATCCCCGTGCCGTTTCCGCTGCCATCGGCGCCTTCTGCGAGCTCGCCCTTGCGGCTCCCGACCCCTCTCCGTACCTCCCCCTCGCCCCTGAGTTCTACCGCCTCCTTGTCGACTCCCGCAACAACTGGGTCACCATCAAGGTTCTCAAGATCTTCGCCCGTCTCGCCCCCTTGGAGCCCCGCGTCGCCGCCCGCATTGTCGACCCCGTCTGCCAGCTCCTCCGCCGCTTCACTGCCAAATCTCTTGTCTTTGAGTGCATCCGCACCGTCTTCTCCAGTCTCTTGGATCACGATGCCGCAGTCCGGCTGGCTGTGGATAAGATCAAGGAATTCTTGGCCTCCGACGATGATCCCAACCTGCGGTACCTTGGCCTTCAAGCTCTAAACATGCTTGGACCGGCGCACTCGTGGGCAGTGGAGGACAGCAGGGAGGTCGTGATCCAATCGCTGAACGATACCGATACTAACATACGGCGTGAAGCACTGCGCCTCATAATGGGGATGCTGTGCGACAGCAACGTGGTCGATATCTGCAACATGCTAATCAAATATGCCATCAAGTCCGACCCAGAGTTTGCAAATGAGATTCTTGATGAGGTGCTTGCAACCTGTGGGAGGAATGTGTACGAGCTGATTGTGGATTTTGATTGGTATGTATCTCTCCTCGGTGAGATGGTGAGGAATCCACATTTTGCCAAAGGGGATGAGATCGAGAGGCAGCTAGTGGACGTTGGATTGAGGGTGAGGGATGCGAGGCCGGAGCTCATCCGTGTGGCTCGGAACCTTTTGATCGATCCTGCTTTGCTTGGGAATCCTTTTCTCTGTAAGGTGCTGTCCGCTGCTGCTTGGGTTTCAGGCGAGTATGTTGAGTTCTCGAGGAACCCGTTGGAGCTAGTAGAGGCACTGCTGCAGCCAAGGACTAATCTCCTGCCGCCATTTGTAAGAGCTGTTTATGTTCAAGCTGTGTTTAAGATTCTTGCCTACTCTTTTATTTCTTTTATCGAGCAAATACAAGCTGGCGAGTCACTGGCAATTGGCAATTCCTTAAATCAAAGAGGAGGGAAGCAAGAAGGATCTGATCTTGTTGCTGCTAAAAGCTCTAGTGATCAAAATAATGCTTTTGAGATTGGAGATGGTGTTGCTACAGCTGATAAGGCCATCCTCTTTGATTCAATTGAAAAGCAGGAAACTTTCAAGCATGAATCTATTTCTTGCCTGCTAAATCTGATTGAAACAGTGGTGGGCCCGCTGTCAGAGTGTGGTGAAGTGGAGGTTCAGGAGCGAGCTAGGAATGTTCTTGGTCTAATTCTCATCATACGGGGAACTCAATTTTGGAATATCGAGGAGGGACATGAATTAACAAGGGATAACAAGATCACTAAAATGGTGGAACTCATGGAATCAGCATTTTCTGAAGAGTTAGGTCCTGTCTCTACAAATGCTCAGAAGAGAGTTTCAGTGCCTGAGGGTCTGATTCTGAATGAAAACCTTTCTGAACTTTTGGACATTTTAGGTGATGATGATATCAATCCATGTGCATCAGTTTCATTTTCCTTACGCAATCATCATTCTACAGAGACTAACCAGGATTCTGCAACAGCTATTGAGCCAAATTCTTTGCTTGCTGAACATCGTAAGCGACATGGGTTGTACTATCTTCCCATGGACAAAGATAAGTCTGAATCAAATGATTATCCATGTGCTAATGAACCACTGTTGCCTGTCAGTCATGGGGAAGACACTGAAGACATTGTGAAGCTCCCTGCACAATCACTTATTCCAGAAAAGGCAAAGCCCACGAAACCACGACCTGTGGTGATAAGGTTGGATGAAGGAGATGGTGTTTCGAGTTCTAATTTGAGTACAGCTAAGGAATCTAAGGATGATATGTTATCTGGCGCAATCAGGGATGTTCTTTTAAGAAATGAAAAGAAACCATCATCGACACATAAAACATCATCGGACAGAACTTCTCAAAGAAGAGAGAATGATGGATCTGAGAATAGTGAATTAATTTCTCAGCAAAAAGAAAGTAACAGTTTTGGTGATAGAGAACATGGAAAATCAAGTTCTAGGAAGAGCAGGCATCACCACAAGGAAAGGATTGAAAGCTCTGGGCAGAACAGGGATAATGAAGAGAAGAGTCATAGGCACTCAGCAAAGAGTAGCCACCATCACAGAAGGCATAAGCATAGACAAAGAGGAGATGCTCCTTTGGACATTGTTCCACAATCTCCAGTTATCCAAGATTTCCTTTTGTGATTGTTGTTTGTCTACTTGCTGTTATAAGGTTTTGCCTTTACATATGATTTGAACACCGTTTCCCTTGTTGTCAAGGTCAGTCTTTTTTGATGCCTGTACATTTTATTGCCGTACTGCTTCTAGTTCTTGTATTGTATCTTTAATCTCTTAAAAGTTCAGGTATACTGTGTGGTATGTATGAGTTAGACAAAATATGGCAAAACGGCTACATTTTAGTGAATTTTTTTAATGGACAATATAGTCATTTTCCAGATTTAAGGTCTTTCTTTCTTCCAATAAATGTTAACTTTCTTTGTCTGAAGCTAAGTTCCTAGATTCTCGAGACTCATAAGAGTTCATTAGAGTATTTTATGCTTTGGGGGTCCAAAAGAAATAATATTTTAGTATCTAGAATCTTTGTTACATGTCTGCAGTTGCAGGTGCATAATGTTCAGCTGCAGATATTTCCCAGTGTTTTGCAAAATAATCACAGAACAAATAATAGAAAACAAATCTGTTCACTAGGAGGTGAAATCTGACTTTTGGTGAGTCTTTCTTTTATTGATTATAGTGCATCTATGTTTTGACATGAAAATGATGAGTAGCAAGAGCAGAATGAATAGTTTCTCATATAGGAATTTTGATATTAATTTGTCTCTGTCGATAAACTTTTACTTTTAACAAAAATATGAATAACCTTACATCTAGGCCCATTAACAAAATGCTTTAGTATGAGAAATATATCTGACTTTAAGGACATCAAGTGATTGATAGGTTAACCAATCAAATGTGCTCTCTGACAGCTTGATCACACATAATTGTCTTCACGACATAAGGAAAATGGTTCATATCAATATGATCATTTCAACTCTCTTGATTTATGCCAGTGATTTAAAAAGGCACTCGGGCGCTCGCCTAGGCGCTCGGGCGAGGCGAGGCGAGGCCCGAGCGCCTCGCTAATCTCTCAGGTGGCGCGCTTCAAACAGGCACCGCCTGGGTGCTCGCCCGAGCCCAGGCGTTGGGCGCTTCGGGCGAGTGCCTGGGTTAACCAAGGCGACTGAACCAAGATTTTAGGTTTGGTTCGGTCCTGGTTCGGTCTCTGATGGTTAGTTGGTTCAATCGAACCAACTAAAATCGATATAAGTGAGAACCCAACCCTAACCCTCGCCGTTGCCGCTCCCGATCCCGATCCCGATCTCGCTGCTCGCCGCTGTCGCTGCTCGCAAACGCTGCCTCTGTCGCTGCTCGCCGCTCCTGCTCCCGCTGCCGCTGCTCACCGCTGTCGCTGCTCACAAACGCTGCCTCTGTCGCCACTCGCGCCTCCCGTTGCTCGCTGCTCCTGCTCCT